GTTGATCCTAGTTCCTCTAAGGGGAAGGTGAATGAGAATCGGACACCAGGCGTCAATAGGTTCTCGGCGAGGCTAGCTGACATATTCGCATTTGTGGCTGGTAATGCAGCCAGACGCCGATGCGTTTCTCCAACCCGACGAGGAGTTGAGGATGAACCTTTGGGTTTCGATCGTGTGATCCTAGGAAAGAAAGTTGTTGTTGCCTCTGCCGGAAAGGAAGGTCGTGCCAAGTATATCGAAGATTTCAAGAAGGAACTTCTGACGAAATCCAAGTATCAGTTGGAGTCGCTCTGCAAGGCGGATCAGATCAAGTATTTCAAAAAAAAGCAAGCATCTACGGATCTCGCGGAGATTGGAGCCCGTGATGCCTACGGCGACGAATCAGAGGAAGAGGGACTTGACAACATCGCTGCTGACGCCCAAGAGGAGAATCCCTCTTGATGATCTATTGATCTGGCGTATGTCCGGTTGCTTTGGCAAAATACGTGCCAACTACGGATTCGCGATCGAAAGATAGGTAGAGATTAGGAAGATAGGGAAGCTTGGGCCCCTTTTTTTGTTATCTTGTTAGTTTGTTTTGGGCAACTAGCCTGGGCAGGTAGATTTGTTGATACATGGCTTGATCTTTTTAACTTTGGGTTTGATATTTTCCAACCTACTGGCCCATGTGTCTACCTACTCATTTCTCATCCTTTCGCGTGATTTATATAGGATCTACCTCACGCAATCTCTCTGTGCGATGGCGCGAGCACACCCGACCTTCTGCTGTATTTGAAGGTCACCCTACCCATCGCTTACGCCAATGGTTCAAAAAGAAAGGTTTATCGTCCTATGTTGCAGTGCCAATTGCGTTCCCTCAAGCCTTTGATCTTAGGAATGTCGAGTCATCCCTCATAGCTCGTTGGTGCCCAACTCTTAATACCTGTCCCCTTCGGAAAAAACAGAGCTGCAAAAGGAAGGGCAAAAGGGAACGTGTTTCCTTTCATCGGTTGGTCGGTCTACATCAGAACCGTCCTGCTCGTACGGAGAAGTTTCTTGAGTTCACTATCGCCCCTAGTCCTGCTCTTCCCCCTTCATCCTCTCAACCTTCACTCTCCCTTGCTTCACAACTAGAGGCTTGCATGTACGAAGGACTTACTGCTGCTTCGGTTTTTTGTTATGGAGGCAATACCTTTTTGGATGCTTGGAGCAGTCTTCGCAGGAACTTTGGCTATAGCTCGGTGTGTTTTGATGGACGATTTACGCTTTTGAAATTTCTGAAATTTGAACTCGTGAACGGTGGTGTTTTTTATTTTACCCATATTCGCAGGCATTTTAATGCTCGTGACCGTAGGAAATCGATACTTGTGGCTTTGCTTCACGTTCCTTGGACGATTCAGTTACTCCATAACTTCTCCCTCGCCAAGCTCATCAAGCTCTACAACATGATAGACTTGTTTTTTTCTAGTCGGACTAGGGGTGCTCTGAAAAGGATTTTTGGTCCTTCCATTACCAAGGCTGCTGGGTTTGCCTGTCTAAGTCCTATTCTGATCAAAATCAGGTTTGACTTTGCTTGGAAAAAGGGTTGTCTCGCCAATCTTACTAAAAGTCTGATTAGGAGAAGGGTAAAGCCTGCTTGCTTGGCTGAGTTTATAATTGTCCGGTTCCGTGTAGTAAGATTGGCGTGAAACTAACCGTAATAATATTGCCTTAGACAGCTTGGCCCGTAGCATCTGTGTTAACCGATTGGGTAAAGGGACTTCCTTTTCAAAAAAATCCATTGGTAAATGATGGGTCCGCGTGAAACTAACCGTAATAATATTGCCGGTAATTTTCGAATTAATAATATTTTCGTTAAAGCTGGAACTACCATCCTGAGGCAAACCATCGGAATCCCCATGGGAAAAAGCTCAATCCCGGCACTAGTTTGTCCTCTTTGCTCATTTAATGAATATTCCTTTATTACCTCCATTGGTACTGACTCGAAATTCATTTCAGGATTAAGGCTGATTGATGATGTGGGTTTGTTTCTTTTCTTTCCAGGTACTCATTCGAGATATGTTAGAAAGGCCTGCGAACTTTACAACAATTTTTTTTTGACCTATGATGCTAACTTATTATTGCTCCGCACTGACAACATGAGCGGCACTTGGGAGTTTCTTGGTTCCTTTATCACCATTTTTTGTTCCCCACCTTCTGTCAGATGTTTTGCAACTACGAAAAATCATGATTACATCTTTAGCTCTACTCCCTTACAAATCATCGCAAAACGCGAGTTTCGACTTAACTGTTTTCCACATTTGTTGTTTAGCAAGGAGCTCAAAGGTTTCTCTAGGAACCATAAAGGGGTTTGGGACCTCTAGGTACTTGTTTTCGCGACTCTAGATGAATAAACTGTAACTATCACTGTTGTAGGTCTTCTGAGGATGATATGGGACCTGGCGTGTGCCTTTTTTCCTGTCAGCTTTCTGTATCTCATGTGGTTTTTCGCGATTGAGTATCCCTGTAGATACCAGGTAGTCCTACTAAAAATTTTTCCGCCCAAGCCCGCTTCTGTTTCGCTTCTGTTTTCCTACTGCCTTTCTATTCATTTACCTGTCTCTTCGGCATCGACCTCTCCTTCCCACCAAGCATGTCACCGACGAGGAGCATTCATTCATTGTGGCTTCGTTGTCTTACTTCTGAAGATAGCATTGTTACACTGCCATTCAAGTGGGTGTCGCATCGCCTGTTCTGACCGACAGTTTTCAGGACTCCTACCTCTCAGGCCTTCTACTTCTCCTCAGTTCGGCCAAGCACGACATTCTCCTTGGACCTGAAGCCGCGCCTACCTGAAGATAACTTTCAGGTACTCACGTATCTCTGCCAGAACCTTTTACGTTCTAACTGTCAATCCTTACTCTTCCTTTTACGTTCTAACTGTCGATATCTAGGTTGCTTATTTAATTGCTCTCTCTCTCTCTCTCTCTCTCTCTCTCTCTCTCTCTCTCTCTCTCTCTCTCTCTCTCTCTCTCTCTCTTACACATCTAGATGTGTATAAACAGAGACAGAGAAAGAAAGAGGAAAGAGTAGTGACCGAGATGCAACCAATTTTATAACCATGGCTATGGCTGAGGTGCACCAACACTCACGCACACATACGCCCACACTCTGCTCATCTACAATCTC